GCAGGTAACGGTATTCATCAAACGAACAGCGCTGTGCCATTGGATGAACGGCTCTGTGCCTGCTGCAGGCCTACGCTGTGGCAGAGAACAACATCGCCACCGCCGTCGCCACCGCTGTCGCCAACGTGGCCGCTGGGGGAGACGCCACCGCCGAGGCCTACGCAGCAGCCGAGGCCTGCGCACTGGCCATCGCGGAGGCCTACGCCAGCGTCACGATCAACATCGAGTCCACCGGCAACAGCGAGGCCTGCGCGGAGGGCGAGGCCACGGCCTACGCCGCCGCCACCGCCTTCGCGCAGGCCTACGCCCAGGCGCTGGCCGTCGCCTGCGACAGCTACGACGTCTGCGGCACCGGCGCTGCTGACGTGGAGGCCATTGCGACGGGAACGGCAGAGGTGGGCGTGGAGAACATGTTGGTCCCCCGTCTTCTTCCCGTGAAGATCCTTCTTCCGCTGGCGGCATCTCTTCGTATCTGTTGGGTGTACATTCAATTTGACGCCCTTCCAAACGTTCCCAAATCGGTGGCAAATCGCCTCGCCCGTCTCGGTTTTCTTTGGGATCCTGCGCTCCTTCGTCCTTGTTCCCTTTCTTCTTCGTCCAGTCGCTTAAGTGGAGATCGCTTTGGTTGCCTTCTTATGTAAAGATGAATGAAGAGGAGTAGATAGTGTTGGTGCTGTGTTCGTATGCCCTGAATCGCTTGGGCAAATGCGCAATTTGCGTTGATGTGGATAGTCTGTGCGCGCGTGTGCCTATTGGCAATGCCTTGTTTGTCGCAGACGCGCGTTTGTTGCAGTTTTCGGTCCTTTAAGACATTTCTACGGTGGTGTCACCAATCGGTGCAGCGCTGAGTGGCCAACTGATCCAACCATGGGCAATCGACAGGAATTGCCATCCCCGCCAATGGAGGATATGGACAAGTACATGCTGTGGAGGCGAATAACCAAATCATCTTTCTTGCGATGCAGGCATTTGCGACCGCTTACAACCGGGGTTGCGTGGAGGGCACGGGCACTGTGTTGCTCGAGACCGAATCGTTTGCGCAATCCATCACTGAAATCTACGCTACCGCCCTCGCCGGTGCCTTTGGCGCAGTATCCGATGGTGAGCCCGACTTGCTACCCTCCTTTCTAATTTCTTGATAATGCATTCGACTTCCCTCAGGGAGGTAGACATTGCAAGCGCAGAATTTTGCCTGCTTAGTGTTGGAAATGAACCGTTTTATTACACATGCCAGTTTTAAGATGAACGTATGGGCTTGATGGGGATAGTTTCGTAACTGCCCCCAGCCATCCCCTCAAGCTGACAATGAATGTGTGAACGACGGAACGTGTTGACATGAAAATCCACTTGATGGTGTGGTGGTTGCGCCGCATTCTATTTGATTTCTCAAACATGGATCCAATGTGAAGCACAGTATGATATGTAGGCAGCTGCCTCCCAAGACGGCTACTGAGCTCTTTGACCACCACTGAAATATGATCGCTGCTGGCCCCGATGCCGTACTCCACCCGCCACATCAAGACACCAACAACGATTTCAGTATGTAGTGCTATCATAAGTGTCCCATTTGGAGTTGAGATTTAGTGGATATCGCAGGTTGAACAATGTGCCTGACAACTCGTTGCGGGCGCTACGGCTGCGCTTGCAACTCTTTAAGGAACGCAATGAATACGGTGCACACAACTGATAAGACATCACGTTGACGTAATCACGGTCAAGTGATGTGCACCGAATTGATATTTCAAATGCGATTCACCCACACCAGTAACGCTCGAAAGGGCGTCCTATTCCCCTCGCCAACTGACCTATGTCTTTCAATTCAGTTGCTTGCTTTAACATACACAGTCAGCTTCATGGTAGAAGGGAAAATATCAAAAGGGAGTTCTTTTGTTATTATTAGTTCTTCTTTTATTAGTTCTTGTTTTGCTTCTTCTATTCGCGATATCATGACAACAAGGGTCTTAAAGGCAAAATGCGTCCCTCTGAGAACATTCGCCGTACATTAGTTGTGTATGACCCTGGCAATGCTCTTGCAGGCAGCGCCACGGCCGCCGCCACCGCTGACGCCACGACCGACGTCGTCGACAACAACATCGCCGTCACTGGCAGCAGCGCCGCCGTGACGGGCGACGCCGACGGCATCGCCACCGGCGATGCCGTCGCCGTCGGAGGGGAGACCCCTGTGTGTGATGGCGCCTTCGCCTTCTGCTGCAGGAGCACCGGCGCCGCGAGGACCGGGAAGTGCCGCTGCCCCAAGCCGTGAGTATCCCTCGCTCTGCTGTTCGTCCATTCCGTTCTCTTGTACTGCCAATCCATTCTCCTGTTCTTCCGTTCCATTCTCCTGGTGTTCCTTCCTCTTCTCGTGCTTTCCCTCTGCAATCCACTGAAATTGCGATCGACAAGACGGCGGGGTTCCCCTGCATCTCGAAGGCGACGACGGAAGCGCGTACATCCACGGATGTTTTTGTGTGCCGCATCAGTTCATTTTGCCCGCTTGCCACCCTTGCGGTCACACACTGCTGCATGATGGATGTCTCGATCCTGTTGTACCGCTGTCGGAGATTCGCCTGCCCTTGCACCTTTTCTTTGCCACAGTCTCTCTGGCATGTCTCTGACATGAACAATAACGTGGACACAAATAAACAGGAGCGCGCTTCTGTTCATTTGTGTCTCCGTTATTGTTCGTGTCCGTCACCTCAACGGCCGAACGTAGGCCTTTCTGCGCTTTTTCGTCTCCTCGTTTCCAGAAACACCACGACGGGATATTGCAGTGCGGTGCGACACTGTAGAGTGGTGCGAAAAAAGATGGCCGTGGCCGTCCTGGGGCTGCTGCTTTGCACTACATCGTGAGACCGCGGCGTCACGCAACGTACAAGAACGCTCCACAATTCGAAGCATGGTTTGAATTTTGAACCATTGAACAATTTACATTGTACAAGTTGTAAATTTGAGGCACCGTTTGAAGCATTGCAAGTTTGAAGCGGTGTTTGAAGTTCAAACATTGATGGCCCCAGCGATGTCAAGCCAGTACGATGCAGGCTCAGAAGGTGCTGTGCGGCTGTTTCGGCGCAGGAAGTGCAACATGATCGCCGTCGCCGATCAGGCCGTCCCCACCTGGCAGGTCAAGTCCAAGAAGGTCAACCTCGGTAACAGGAAGAACCCTAACATCTTCGAGAGGGGCTACACCTGCATCTGCGCTTGAGCGTCGCGCTCACGGGGCGTGCGAGGGTGGCACAAAGTATAATCTCCGGAGAACGACGCGGGGTGCGAGTGGGAGGGTACCGAGTAGGGCATAGGGGCGTGTGGAGACACCCTGATCGGCCTGGTTGCTAGCGAGAAATGGTTCTGAAGGCGCCCGGACGCGTTTGGGATTATGGCGCGGGCGTTCAGCCAACAAGGTGGCTTGGGGACCTGCCTCGGCTGGCTGGGAGCACCCAGTGACTGTCGCCCTAACGGCGACCACAGGAATGGAATAAAGCAATTGGAAATTTCAGATTCTTAAGAAATCGGCGTCCAGATTTTATCCGCACCGCCTCCCGTTCTGACGGGGGGTGCCCCGATCTGACCGTGCGGATGGAAGCTACAGTGGCGCCAGTGCACCCATTGGTGGCACGAAGGGTCGACGGCGAAGGCTGTGAATGCAAGTTGCGGCTGTGTTCCGATTTATTTACACTAGAGTAGAGGGCGCAGTGCGCGCAGGAACCAAACCAATGTGGTGTAAATTGGTTATCCACCATGATACCTTCCAAGGACATTATTTTTTGCCATGAGCTCGTTCAGGATTGGTTTTCGCAGGAAAGGAACTCGAGTATATGCAGGTTCACAGGTTTCAGTGGGATCCACCAATATAGCCCCATTGACAGAGCGCAGTCCCAAAATGGGTACTGCTGTTGCAATGCCCCCAGGTCTCAGCTGAGACACAGAGTTATTTGGTACTCAATCCCGTAAAATCAGGAATTAAAAGAAAGGAACGAAATCTACCATTTTCACAAGCCACAGTGAATATTCGTTGACAGAGACCACTAGTAGAAAACGGCATGTCTGCGATGCCAACTGCGATGCTATTTTGGCACAAAGTGATGCCGTCACAGTGATTGCGATGGCATAAAAGTGGCTGCGATGGCATCAATTTGTGTCAAATGGCGTCGCAATTGGCATCGCAAACAGGCTGCTTTCTACTGCTGGACACTTTCACCAGCGAACCTACTTCAGCGTGTAGGTAGCGTAATCCAGCTTGATGGCGCTCCTAGTACCAAAGCGGTAGTTCGGGAGGTGCTGAATATCTGCAAGATGCCTGCCAGCGACTGAAACAAAACCGGTTAAGTCCTCGCTCACGATGAAATGCTGAGACTGTCAGGGTTTCGATCCACAAAAAATAAGTGCTGTACATTAACAGGCGTCCAAAGTGTTGGAGAGCGTCGTGGAGGATGTCATGGAACCTGTCGCATGATGGGCCACCTGGCCATAATTTGACATTTCAAAACGTGTACGCCATTGCGGTTCATGTCCAGACACCAAATTTACCGACGGATTTGAAGTTAGAAGTTTCCACACAGTGGCGATCCCAACCGGCGTGGCAACCCGCAGCGATTGAAGGTGCGCCTTCAGAAGTACGAAATGTGATGCAAGTTGCGTCATGCAACTATTTTGGAATCAGAGAAGAGAAAAAAAGAGGCCTGGCCTGACAACAGGCACAGGCCATCATCTTCATAGAACTGGGGACATGCACTCGACCCTTAGGGAGACGGAGTCCCCAACGTGCCATTTTTGTTGTTTGAACCCGTTGCTCCTGTCTGGGTTTTGCAACACTGTAAATGGGCGTCTCAACGAGGTGTTCACACCACGTTGACATCCAGCCGATTTTCAGCCTTGCACCCCACCCGCCGGGTGCCGGGCCCCCGGGGAAAGAAAAGATTAACCCGGCCTCTACATGGAGCCAGGCCCACCCGCGGAAACGCCTCCCCGGACGCCTGCTCGCCGAGGGCGGCCATTCGGCCGCGATGAGCGAGGACGGCAGCGAGGCGGGCAGCAATGGCTCCGGCCTCATCTCCTGCCCGGACAGCGACGCGGACACGGGCCCCTTCGGCGCCCCGCCCTCCGCCCTCGAAGGGGAGGCAGAAGATCTCAAGGTCAGCCAGCAGGTGAGGGCCATTGCCCGCCATCGGTCGCGAGGTAAGATTTGTTGCGAATCAAAGGAAGCATGTCATACAATGGGCGCCCCATTCCAAGCAAATCTGTGCGAGTTTTTTTTCTGCACTGTAGAAGGTGGATAGAGAGCCTCCCTAGCGGGAAGAATCACACAAGATGTCGCAAGGTGCAGGGGCACCAATGCATTTTGTCAAAGGCAACGTTGGACACAGAGTATGGAAGGTCTCCTGATCAGCGGGCAGGTGGGCCCTGTCGCCCGTCACCTCCTGCAAGGTACAAGGGCACCAACGTGTTTGTCAAAGAAAATGTTGGACAAAAGAGTTCTTGTAGATGCCAACCTGGTGATCCCCAATGCCCACCATCACCCACAAGGTGCAAGGGCACAGATGTGTTTCAAAGGCACTGTTGGGCAAAGGGGCTCTTAGCAATGTACTGAGCAGGTGGGCCCCGGCGCTCGTCACCTCCTGCCAGGTGCAAGTGCACCGTTTTGTCTTTCCAGGGCCGTTTTGGGCAAAGGATTTTGGCTGGTGGGCACTGTGACCGCACCGCCTCTTGCCAGGCAAGATGCACAGAGGGGACCGTCTCCCACCACCACCGCTGCAGCATGAAAAGAGTCTTGTGCACACTTGCTCAAGAAGGGGTGCCTTTCTTATCACCTGCATTCCTTTGAAGTGGCAAACCTTTCCCTCACCAACCCACTACTGCCACCACACGCACAGACATCTGCATTATCTGCCGCAATGTGGATTGTAGTCTCTGTCCCTAACATCCAGGGCTTCTGCAGCACCTGCTGCAGAGTCTGCAATGCCTGTCACAGAAGCTTGCCATAGTGGCGGGCCATTGCAGGGGCATCTCCAATCCCCTTTGGTGACAATGGGCATTCCACCAGGGGTGACCATGGCCATATCCCATCATCTCATTGGACATTGGACCCTCGACCAGGGGTGTCAATTTAGGGCCGCTGCCACCCCTCTGTTGATAGTGGACCTTCTGCTAGGTGGCCCTGTTTGTCGAGATGCTCGAGGACGCCTACGAGGCCCTCCTGCAGCGCGAGATCACCCCCGAGGTGGTGCCTGGAACGACGGCTGTGCTGATTCGCTTCCCCGTCCCAGGCCCGGTGCGGGCCGTGCTCCGCTGTGAGGATCGCCTCCTGCTGTTCATCAAATTCGAGCACAGGCCTGGCGGCTGGGCTGTGCCAAGGGTGTCCCTGGCTCCCTCTCAAGAGAGGGATTTCAGCGTGGTGACCCAATTCTGGCGCAGCCAGGCGCAGCCGCACTCGACGGATCAGACCACCCTGTGCTACACAAAAGCGCTGCTTTTGGCTATAGCCAATGACATGGATGTTGCGTTCCTGATGGACCGGCCGGGACTGGCCGCGGAGCGGGTCCGGGATCGCATATCGGTGCAGGATGAGAACTTTGCGGGGGTGTTCAGGATGCCAATGGATGTGAAGAAGGTGGACGTGGAGGTGGCAGAGATCGTGGGGGAGGCGATGGGCGTGATGGGCGGGCGGACGGTGCGCAACGTGGTGCTGAGGGCGGTGGATGTGGTGGAGGGCAACCTGAGGAGGCTGGGGGAGCGGTGCTACCTGTGTGGCACACGGCACAGGCCGCAGCCAGTGGTGCCAGTGCCGCTGCCATGCTGCAATTACCTGTGCAGGTGGGTGCACATCAGAACCGGCAGGCGGGTGTTCTCAGTCAAAATTTGGCAAGGGACATTGTGGCCAAATGGTGTAGCCTG